GGCCGTAATACACAATGTAAGTAATACATATAGATACTGTGTACATATAGTATTGTTGCTAAAAGTAATGGTTGAACAAAGAGATATACTTCTTTATATAATAACAAATATTCATTTATTTGCATGACCTGTTGATTTGATATCATATTTTATTGAGGTCGATTATTACTCATCTGTTTCTATAAATACTATTATCTATAATTGATAGTAAGCATTTTATGTGACGAACCATTCTTTTTAGACAAGTGAGACTTGAATCTATTGATAGAATAATATCTACACCCACCTTATGGGGTCTTTTTTTAATTTTTTTTTCTCTTACCAGAGAGAGACTGTGTACAAAAGTCGATTGCTTCTGTACCTCTGTCCCATTCGTGTTTAAACCGTGAAGCAGTTGTGTTTGCATGGCTGTGTTTGGTTTGAAGGGTGGGATATGGCATGAATTTACTGGGTACAGAGGAATAACACCTGAATCCTAAGGAATGGCAACGCATGGGGGTATCATGGGCGAAACAGTATACTCTGTTATGTCTATGGTACTGCTCATGTCTATAGGCGACGATTACCACTTTCCATCAGGTGGGCCGTCAGCTTGTTTACCATTCTAAGTTGTATAAAAAAAAAACACGAGTAGTTTGCGCTATCTGTAACGTTGGCGGGACACCAGCGAGAAATGATAGGTGAGCATATAAGCAGGTCTATTGGCACATCATGACTATGGTTTCTAGAGGAAATTGTATGGAGGTTCATCAAATAATGTATATTCCTAGCATTGGGGATATTAGATCTTGTCTAGAGAGAACTGTGTAGTTATAGTTTTATGTTTCTACCTAAATACGAGTTAGATGCCATGCAATGCATAGGATATGTGGTATTAGTTTTTTGTGTTTATAAATTTAGATTTAATTTCCAATCAGCTTTCTTATTTGATTAGTATTTATTATAACAATGGCAACTAATTAACAACACCAGAATTGTTGTTTGTGCGTCGTCCACATTTTGAGATGTTTTGAAAATTCTAACTAAAATGTAACGTTTCAGTACAAGTATAATACATATATATCTACAAAGTTGAAACCTATTTCAAATACTTGCAATACAGGATGATATTCCTATTTGGGAGAAGTTATGTATATGTTTTTTTCAATATATTAATTTTAAATAAATAACTGCTGGTACAAATATTTTTTTGTACATCGAACACTTGTCAATGTAATGTAAATTTTTTTTTTTTTAATATTATGTACAATAAATAATTTTAAATAAACGAAAACTGGTACAAGTAATTTTTTTATAAACAGAACAGCCAGAGACGGTAGTCAATCTAGTTCATTTAATTAAATGCAAAATATATCGATAAAGACTAATTAATGATATGGACAATCCATACTATGTTTATGATATTAGGATCACCTACATTTATTAAGTGGATTATAATCCTGATAAACACCAGTTACACTGATTATTCCATTAGTATAAAATTATAATGTGTCATTTGTAAACACCAATGGAGTCAACAGTAGCGAATTTATCATGTGAATGAACCTCATAATATGAATAAATTAAGATATGAAAAATTAGGTTAATGCATTGAGATATATGTAATTTATGATAACACATGTTTAATTTACATATGAACAGCAAATATGCCGTTTAAATCGACAGATTATTTCACTTATAGATTAAATACGTTATACTAAATCTAGTGATACTATTCCAGAAAAGGATTTATTTATCCAAAAAAAAAAAAACAAAATTTATCTAATAATATCAATATTAGAGTACAAATTACAATGGATAAACTAAACTACAATTGAGTATTTAAGAGCAAGAATAAATTACATAATTTAAAAATCAAAATTGCTAAGTAGCTATAAGTATAAAAATTATTTTTACACAAGTTTATAGGTTTAAAGTCTACTTCGACGAAGTCATTGTATTTAACAAAATTATTTTAGATTTGATAATAACAATATATGTATTATGAACTTTGTCATAAAGCACATATACTTAAACAGTTTTAAACTTCTTTTGAAACTATTATTCGGATGAAGTATACGAGTACACACTTTGATCTTTACGTTATGTTATAATTATATTATATATTTATAAAAAAAGATTAAATAAATTTAATTTAAATGATATATTAGTTATTACAATCACATATATTTAGGTATAATTAATGTCAAGTTAACTTTAGAATTAGCTTTCTTTGGATTCACAGCTGTGAAATGAGATCTTCAATTCGCAATACCTACAATATTACTTATGTGAAGAAAAAAAATGTTCTAATCAATCAATAAAACTAAATCAAAAAACCTACTTGCTGTGCCCAACAGGGTCCATAATTGAAATATTATGTACTAATTATATTATGGAATGCAATAAGAAATAAATAAATAAATAAATCATATCATTAACAGAGACCACCGAATTAGCTGTCAATATTTCCTACATATAACTCGGTGATAGATTCTTATATTATTATTAGCTAAAGTGATCGTTGTGATTTTCTAGTAGCTTGCCGACTGATTGCTTGACTATCTGACCCACTGAACAGCCGGTAATTAAAATAAAAAAAAAAAAAATATCTAAAACATCGCAAAGATCACAGCAATCTCAGAACAATATCGGGTGATTAACATCATTAACTACTATTCGATCGGTTTTTCAACATGTGTACAATCGACCTTTCGTTGTATTTATATTTATATGTGTAATTTGCATAACATTCCCATATCGATTCGTTGGGCCTAATGTGTGGTCAATATTGAACCTGTATGGTCGATATCATGAGCTTTCGTAACTTACAACTCGATTTTTAGGGATCTCAATAATATTTTCGATTTTTTGTAGAACGAAAGCGAATGGGATTTTACGAAGTATTTTTTGTTATCTGCTATATTTAAATACATGTGGATAAACTTATTCTTATTAATATTGTAAATGTGAAAGTCAGTTTATTTGTTTAGTACTTTTTGACCGCTCAATCAGTTTTTATGAAATGTTGCAATCACGTAGTATTTGGGATGAAGAAGAACATAGACTCCAGGCTACATTTTATTCTGGTCAATGAATGTGTCCAGTAATTTTAAAATTTAGCAGTGTATATCTGATTTTAGATGTACAGTGGACGATGTCGACAACATTTTATAGTTTATGTCAACAATAAAATAACTTCAAGTTTATCTGTTTCCACAATGCATGGAAATTATGTAAAACCCTCCTAGGTGAATGATCAATTAATGTATTTTGTAAATAGAATGAGACAGAAATATTCAGCGTCTAATTTTTTCGCATTCGTTAGCTAACGAAAGCATGTATATTGATAGATAAATATCGATTTGACCACTTTTGAATATAAGAAACAATTTAGGAGATAAATTCAGAATATTTAGTTTTTATTCCTTTAACTAAATCAATGAGTTTGATGACCTATACACAACTAATGTTGTGAGCATAGTCTTATTTAAAAAATAGATATATACGGAACCTACGCATCGTAAATTAGTTTCGTACTTACATATTAATCATAAATTTTAATTCCGTCGAAAGCGTAAGGTAAAGTAAATTACTATTCCATATTATTATGGAACGATGAACTGCGGAATTGATTATACTGCATACCAGAATCCGTTGTTAGCAATAAGAAAAATAAATTGTAATTAATTAATAAGTTACATGCATAAACTAAAACGTATAGTTAGCTCATAGTATTGTTTGCGATTAAAAATACTTGTTATGATATATTAATATTCATGATATTATTTTAAATCTCAGTTTATTTTATGTTATGTTCTCATGCAATATACTAATAAATATGACACTAGGATATAATTAAAGAAAAAAATTGCTACTTCAATCGTAACAAAATTAATATAGGACTAATATAGGAGTGAAATCTATTTATTGTAAAAAACATTATAAAAATCCGTTAAGAATTGTTGAAGAATCACTTAATATATATATATATATATATATATATATATATATATATATATATATATATATATATATACAGGTGACTTGAGAAAGTCCACTTTTTGAAACAGTATGTAACCCACAGTGCAATTGTACCGTCAACAAACATTCACTATTAATATTACTTGGTTACAGTATTTGTATGGTAAATAATACAATAAAATTAAATGAATAATGTTAAAGATTTCGATGTATAAAAATAATAGAAAGATTGTTACGTAATAACCTTCCAATACCCTACATTGAGACATCACGAGTAATGAAGCCAATTCCTCTGACTTATTTTCCTTGTTATACTTAGTTACAGATAACAACATTCCGAATCGAGCGATACAATCTAAGGTGACAGTTTAAACACACTGGTGATTAAGTTTATATTTCTATTGGTTTTTGCTCGACACTTTGTACTTGTGTATTTCAGAAGTAGAAAAACTAATGAAATATAACACTTTTAGATGACGTATCAAAATAAAACATATACCAGATTTTAAATGAAACTTTCAGAAAGACAACTATGTGAAACAGTATCCAATTCAGTTTAGTAGTTTTTGCATGACGCTGAAACCAACATATAGACAGACACACAAAATTTCTAAAATTAATTACTTTGGCTTCTATTGGTATTAAGAGCCTTCATATATTTTTTATTTCATAGGAGATTCATGTACAGACATCGTCTTATTACCTTTTTATTAAATCAGTAATCTCAATGAAGCGCAAAATAATACGAATTGAAATAATGATATTATATTAAAATTAAAAACCAATACCAGTGCACCGAAATGAAATTTGGGTACGATGCTAGTTAGCACCACTATATCATTTGCATATATTTCGCAAATGACGGACTTTAACGTCCGTCAACATAAGTTTCCAATTATTGGGTAATGCGGTAATATCGGTCTATGTATGTACGGTATGTTTATGTGTGTTGTTGCTGTGTTTGGAACTTTTTTTGTTGTTCTCTAAACTTATTACGTACCATGGTTAAAAATGGTTAAATAGATTTTTTTTTACAGGCGATATGGAACGAAATGCAGTGGTTGCGGTCACGGGATCTCACCATCTGACCTCGTGCGGAAAGCGCGGGAGAAGGTCTTCCACCTCAACTGCTTCACCTGCCTGGTCTGCAGGAAGCAGCTCTCCACTGGCGAAGAGTTATATGTGTTGGATGATAACAAATTTATATGTAAGGAGGATTACCTCGCGGGGAAGGCACCGACGACGCAGCATTGTAAGTGTTATGCCATATTTTGTTTCATCTTTAAATATTTATTTAGATAAATATTAGGTGAAATACTAACTGGTTACATAGATTTCTTAAAAAAACTTTTTTTTGTTAGAAATCTATGCAACCACACCTGATTTAAGGTTATATTATATCGCATCAAAAACATAAAAGTAAAAAAGGGAGCCAATTCAATATTAAGAATGTGCGTGGTGTTAATATCGTACTATCTTAATTAACATAAATTTGCAATTAGAAGAAATATATACATGGGAGATATTTAAAACAAAATGTTCATATATATCTGAGGATTTGTTAAGAATGATAGAAAACAAAATAATAATCTTTAGAGATTTTATCTGTTTGTATGTTTGCTCCGGCATTACGTAAAAACTACCGTAATTTTTTTTTACGGGCTAACGGGATACGCTGACGGGGCACCAGTAAAGGGTGATAAGTGAGAATGAAAACAGGCCAGTTAGCCCATCATGATGATTTCATCAAGAATTAATCATGATAGTTTCCAGGGGGAACCGCGAGGAGGTCTACCTGGTTGGGTATATTGCTAGCAATGGGATTCTCAGTCTCCATTACTAATAATCCCTTTCCCTCCAACTACCGTAAATTGGATGCAGTTTTCATAGTTGTATTTCTGAATACCCAACTTAAAATCAGGTACAATGATTTACCTATTTCTGAAATCCACGCGTAGAAAGTAGCGAGAAATAATATAGTGGCGCATATATTGATCCGAAAGCTTTGTAAATATGATAATAAACGTTTTTTATCTGTAGTCGACGGTCACTACGGTTGGTGTAGAAATGTGATAGTGCGAGTACTACTAGTACAGTTTTTGTGACTTACTATAAAAACGTGACAATACGATAATAATCGATGTCAAACTTGTCGAACGACGCTCGAACGTGTTGATAGTTGATATAAAAATGTGTAGTCAGAAGAAAGGAAGGTTTAAAGAATCTATTTGTATATAGTAATCTAGAATACACTAAGCTTGTTGCGATAGTAAAAGATGTGAGAGTTATGTTAAAAATTTTGTTTAAATTTGACTTTCATATGGATACTTATAAGGTTTCTTTTTGTGTTTACCTGTCTATATAATGACAATAAATAGAATCATAAGAATAGAAAATAAACAGTATCGAGCTTTATTCATTAATATTAAATTCACCAGAGGGAGACTTTGTACAAAAGTCGATTGCATGGGTACCTCTGTCCCATTCGTGTTTCAACCGTGAAGCAGTTGTGTTTGCATAGCTGTGTTTCGGTTTGAAGGGTGGGATATGGCGTGAATTTACAGGGTACAGAGGAATAACATCTGAGTCCTCAGGAATGGCAACGCAGGGGGGGTATCATGAGCGAAACGGTGTGCTCTGTTATGTTTATGGTGCTGCTCATGTCTATAGGCGGCGGTTACCACTTTCCATCAGGTGGGCCGTCAGCTTGTTTGCCATTATAAGTTGTATAAAAAAAAAAAAAAATAGGGAAGTTAAAATTAGGTTAATAACTGTACTGAAGTCAGCAATTTGTATAATTAATGTCTGTCTGTCTATTGGTTAGGTCATCATGAGAAAATGACTGAATACATTTCAACTATATTTTATAATCTAGTAGTAGAAAAGTCAAAAGATGATGAACTGTTTATCAGAATCATGGGATTACAACATGACCTCTCCACTGTATGAAGTCACGAAGAACGTAGATTTCTTTTTTAACTAGACTGTCATGTTTACGGAAAAATCCCCTAGATGGTAGTAGTATCAAATAATCACATCTTTTACGAATTAAATTTTTATTATTCTCTTTTTGCATTTGTATAACTTCATATTAATTTGCGTGAAAGTGCTGTATAACAATTAGAAAGCAATATTATCAGTGTGGCGACATTGTGGGTCAATGTTGCCAAAATAAAGTCAACAAATAGATTACATTGTAATTGCAATATTCTTGTCCGCGAACCGCACTTCATTTACGTAAGTCCAATCAAATGTCGATATACGCTATCACGTACATAATCGATTGCTTTGTTGCCATATGAAAAAATAAATCAGGTCTTTTATTGTCCTCACCTCAACTCGAACCCAATCGATATAGAATAATTACTTTTCTAAAACACGACTACGTCCCCTTCAATTTCTGAACGTGACATGTGAGAATTGCATTCTGAGTTTAAAATGCGTTTTTTATTGTTTAAGAACGTATCGAGGCAACAATAAAACTCTCGGAGCACCCATTTTGAAATCGGATTTTCGATCAATACGAACCGTAACCGAATCCAAGTGAAAAAAGAAATAAAAAAGCAGGCGTCGTACAAAAAGCCAACCGCATTACACATTAGCCACGTCTCCACGCGGTAGTGCCATAGACATCTTTTTTTACATTTTTTTTACCGCTTTGTCGAAGGCAACACCTTGACGTGAGTTGTAGAAAAAACTGACGCATTGTAGTTGAGATGCGGGAATCGTGAGGAAGAGGAAATTTAAATACATAGCGATAGTACAAATATTTTGATTGGGGAGGATAGATATCAATCACGCCCTTCATTAAAAATTAGAAGAAGGTCTAAAGCTGTTTGCGTTATATTTTGACGATTAAGGCCTTATGAACAAAACCGGGTCGCAAATTTTTAGACATCGATATAGTATTGAGTTCCGGTATTTCTGGTTTTAGTAGGTTGAAATGTGTACTCAATGTTAATGTATTCGTTTGGTGCTACTGTATCATACGAATTTAAATATTATTAAAGTGATAAAGAGCTTAACAAGAGATGTAAACGTAGTATACATGTGTTTTTAATTTGTTTTTAGCATTGCACGTCAAGTTGGTACAGAGAAAGTAACGTATTTTATTTACATTTAATCAGTCTGTATCTAAATGTTTTTTTTTTTTATTATTACTTAGATGAAAAGATAAAGTTTAACAGAAACGATTTATTCAACGTAGATATTTTTATAATAATTTTTTATTAAAATTTAATGAAAACATTCAAAATGTAAATAACTGAATGTGTCACCATAAAAAAAAAATACTGTTTTTCTTTAAGGTATAAAGGTTAGTGCAAGATAAGCATTGCTAAAACTAAGACAAAGCTAACAACACCATTCCACTTATTTTTCAAACCATCAAACTGCATATGAATCATCATTTTATCGCCGAAGATCCAGACTTGGATACATAATGCTTGTTTGCTACCAAAGTACTATAAAAAAAACATAATTCTAGAAAGTTTGCCTCCTTTGTTCGGTAATGGGCACTATAACTGCTTGTGAGGATGTCTTCCTTCTGGCTCAAGAGTATTTATGTCATTTTAGTTGATAACAGCTTCTGATATGACTTGACTCTACATGTCCACTGAAGTACGAAGCAAGAGATTTTTTTTTTTTTAAATGATTCAAGCATGATTTTAAAAGATACATTTAAGGGTAGAGGATTCGATCTTGAGAACTTCAGACTGTAGGCAAACGTTCTTCAACTGGGCTATCACCTCTTTTCTAGTTGGCACTAAAAATCCAGTAAATATGGTAGATATAACTCGTACTTTGCAATGTTCTAAATTCAAAAATCCACTACTTGTTTACTATAGGGCTAGGGTACCAATGTTTGTTCCACAATAGCCGCAACATGTGCACGCCCGCGGCATCGTCTGTGTTTACGCAATGTAATTGTGTTTGAACATCATTACACTAGAATAATGCTGTTGAATAAATTGCGAACTTGCGGGCGCGATCGAGCGGCATGTATCGAGTAATTGAGTTTTAAAACGTAAACCTTTAGCAGAGTATGTTCTGTTTGGTTAAGGACTACTCTGGTCTAATTGTTGCAACTGAATTATTTTGTCAACTCATGAAAGTAAAATTCTAATTTTCTTTGGAAAGAGCATTTTTTTTATGAAGAGAGATTTTTTATTTTGTTGCACTGGCAATTATTAGTAGATAAGTTTAGTAAGTAAGTAGTTGCTTAGCGGCAGAAATAGTAACGGGCACAGTGGTACCCAAGCAGACAATTTTTGTACAGTATCTCTCTAATAGAAATAAAACCAATAAATAATTATTAGTTTAGTGATAATTAATTTATAATGAAAAATATCTTTTAAAAGTTCTTTTAAATTAAAAAAGCATCAAAAAGTTCGGTCTTGTGGATTAGACGGAATTTAGAAAGTAGAGCAACATTTATTTGTGGAGAGTGCCATAAAATATATTTACCTATTACATAAAAATGTTAAAACTTAATTTTATGTGACAGTTTATTATGTATTTAAATAAATATTTAAATTCTCACAAGTTTTATTTTGTGATATAATGAGTTAAAAATGAGGCAAGTAAATGTATTAAAATTAATATATATTTTTTTATGAAATTTAAATTTACAAACGATCTGACGGCCCACCTGATGGAAAGTGATAACCGTCGCCTATAGACATGAATAGCACCATGAACATTACGGAATACATTGGAAAACCCATGTGACTTCTCTAGCTCTGTAATTTTTTACATCTAATGTGTTATTTAATGTTATGCATTAATACTGTAAGTAAGCTGAAGTGTCAACTGTTCTAATTACATAGCTCGAAGAATCGACAACCGATGGGCAAGAAAGGTTCTTGAGTGGCTACAAACGCAGTGTAGAAGGACTCCCCATTAGATGGAGTGACGATCTCAAATGTATTGCAGAGAGTCAGTGGATGCAGATGGCTCAGGATCGTTCCTTATGGTAGTCTATGGGGGAAGCCTATGTCCAGCAGTGGACACATAATGCCTGAAATGATGATGACGATGTGTGCTTTGTAATTTCATTACCACATACAAATACATGCAAACACAGTTGCTTTATGATAGAAATATAAGTGGGACGGAGGTACCCAAATAGACGATTTTGGTGCATAACATGACCATATCAAAATCCCATAGTACCCTATTCTAAATATACAATAGTAGTTAGATATAGGTATATGTATGACGATTCCATAATATTAAGGTACTACAAGTAAT